CTGAATACTCGAGGAAGGTAGTAGGTGTGCATTTGCTGCAAGTGTTAGAAGGGTTAAAAGGGAAAAGTGAGATGTGGAATAATTGAAGATTTGCCAAAAATAATAAAGCAAGAGTAAATTCAGATGGCTTTAAAGAGTTGAGAGGTTTGGGTGGAAGCAGACTAAGGTAGAAGTGGAACAAGAAGAAAATTTGGAGGTGGGGATGTAGCATTGAATCTTGCTAAAAAATGCTCTCCACTGTGTGGCATGAGCTGTTTTAAGTCGATAAGTTATTTTTAGGAGGTTATATTTTTAGGAGGTTACTTACAATTTGATTTATTTTTTTTTTTTTTTTTTTTTTTTTAAGGGAATCTCTTTACTATTTAAGGGAGAAATTCCTGAAAAATTCCATTCCACTGTGCAGCAAGGAATTTCTTTTGTGGACCTACAAGTTATGAACCATTTATCAAATTTTAAAAGGCAGACAGTCATTATGTAGTGGGGGCAATAAATCACGTAAACTGTGTGCTTTTGTGGAAAGCTTGCTGTAGACTGTTACATTCAGTAGAAATGACAGGAAAAAGGCCTGGGTTGTCCTACACTGTAGAGCATAAGTTGTATGTGCAGTGTGTGTTTCCTCAGATGAAAGTAATTAAATGGTGTGAATATAGACTATGCAACGTTTATACAATTAACTTTTTTAGCACATGGCAAAAACGACATTTCATATGAAGAGCTACCTTCATGTAACAACTGACGTTCAAAGTGTTCCTTATCTATTTAAGCAATAATTCTAAGTGAATCTGCCTCTTGACCTTAACATTTCAAGTTCCACTAGTTCTGGACTGAGCTGAAGCAATTCTACAGAAATAATCCAATCCAGTTTTTTTTTCATGTGTACAGATTTCTGGAAAATCTGAAACTCTGAAAGATTTTCTATTCTGTTAGACTTTCTAAATTTGGGAAACACTTGTATATATTTTAAACTACTGATTTTAAGTGACTTTAAAGAAATTGAATGTAAACTTAACACTGAATAAATGTGGGAGGGCTTTGGAGGTTCTTTTGAAAAAATAAAATTCAGACTGATAATTAAATGTTGGCTAGCATGCTGACTCTTTTCATTTCTCTTCCACCTGTGTAAGTACATACAACATATAATAAAAACAGACATGAACTTGAATTTATGGTAGTTATTAAAAGTTCCTTGTAATTTATCCACTGTGCTTAGTATTCCAGATTGGTTCCTTTAACAGAGGTTCAATTAATAATTGTTTTCCTCCAAGTAGGAAATCTTGCAAATCACTGTTAAATGTGTTTATATTGGGATGTTGCACCTTATTACGCTGAGATTTGCAGAGTTCCTGTTAAATGTGTGTTTTGGATCGGTGGTGGTGGTTGAATATTCACATACACACACCATGTACACAGTCCTGTACTCCATCTGACCTGTAATTCTTGCACTGATTTAATTATATTGGGGTGTCTCAGTATTTTGGTAGGGGAAAAGGATGACCAAAAGGTACATCTAGCTGTTAGAGCCTGTCTGATTATGTCTTTCCTGATCTTTGCACAACTTTCATATAGTCAGTACTGTGCTACTCTGGGAAATGGGAGTGTAATGGTAATTCCATATTGCAGCAACTTGTGTCTTTGTGGCGTATAATCAGCATGGACCCAGAGCATCTTCGTGCAGTGAGTCACTTTATTGCCTATTGCTCTAACTTTTATACCATTCTAACAACTGTTATTTTTAACCTATTGCTCTAGCTTTCACACCATTCTATTTGTAGCTTATTATGTTTAGTTCCTGACTTATAGTTTGTTTTTTAACACTTCTCGTCGTCTCACAATCAGTCCCAGAACAGTTCCTTATCTTTATGCTCTCTCCTCCTCAGCCAGGTGTTTTGGTATCTTATGCTCTCTCCTCCTCAGCCAGCTGGGTTGTTCTGCTTGATTGCACAATGTACTTTGTTTCTTCTTTAATTCTTTCTTCTCCAGCCAAGCAGTTACTTCTCTTTGGCAATAATCAAATAGTTTCCATTGTCCCCACATGTCTTCATATGTACGTGTGTACATGTGAAAATGTATGCCATAAATATTCACGCCATAAATATTCACACCATATAAATTGAACTTTGTTTCATTGCAAATACCATAAATTTTTTTCATGGCATATGTGAAGCCCAGATATCTGTTTACAGAACCACAGCAAAGCCATGTGTAAACTTGGCCTTTGCATAAGGCTAAGTCTATTATTTGGTGTTCAATTCTGTTATGACTCATCACCAGAAAAGCAAATTAACTACTGATGCGTCAGCTATACTTGGGTGTGTACAGAAAGCGCTGACTTTAAGAAAGAAAGTGGGGGGGGGAAAGGCACTGGATTTATAAACTAGATTCCGTTTTAAATTGGATTCAGCTCAGTAGGAATATTCAGCTTTCTTCTTGCTGGTTATATTTTGCAGTTGATCAAATATTTTCATTACTATGGCGAAGACAAATTTTGTCTTTCACCTCTAAACTTGGTTCTGGTTATGTCATGGTTTCTCTGAAGAGCAAGTGCAACAGACCCGTTTGTTGTACAGCCCATCTTAAAGAAATTCTTCTGGACCTGTGTTTCTTTTATTTCAGTTCCAATACTTTAAATTAGCCCTGGAGATCTGTTGTGGACCATTTACTGGTGGTCTGGTAGTTGAAAGTCAGATTGTAGGTTGCTGGAATACTTGGCAGGTGCTGACAGTGCATCAACTGTGTCTGGTCTGCATAACTGTAAGACCTCATGTGTAATCTGTTCTGCATGGTCCTTGTTCCCCTTCTTTTGAACACTTAAATGCATGGACAACATGGACTCAAGGAGAGATAAATGCATAAAGGATTGAAGAGCAATCCTTAAGATACTGTGCTTGAGAACTGGAGGAGCAAGCATTGTTATAAAGTAGGCAAAATCCCTTAAAATGGAATAAAAAGAGAAATAGAGAAGTTTATTTGATAATAGTAATAGCATATTTTTGATGAATACAACTGTTCTTAAGATTAGTATTAATAATGAAAATGACTGCTGGCAACGTCATTGCCCTATATACTCTTGTATTTAGTGCATATGGTTAGCTATGATAAAATGTTTGCTGTTACAGCAAAATACTTGGGAGTTAGCCATATGCGCCAAAATGGATTTCAGCCTACTTGAAGGGGGAATAACTTGGCTGAGGCTTGTTAAGGGTAAAGGGCCTTGGTTTCCTGGGCAGGATAGGGCCAAAGCTGAATATAGATTCAGAGTTTTGCTTAGAGTTTTGGCTTAGAGTTTCTTTGTCTGGATTAACAGCATGAGAGAGGGGTACAGATACAGAGTCACATCAGCCTGTGTGCCTTAGGAAAATAATTCTGCAGCAGGTCTGTCAGTTATTCACGCTTTCCTGGGCAGCACTCTTCTGTCTTCCATCACCCCTGGAGTGGTATCAGTTGGGCTGGAACTGCAGTATCGGAGATAGTAATATCTTTGAGTGTCACAGTAATGAGCGGGTGGTTTCAAGAGAGAAACCTACCTAAGGATGGAGAGGGAATGCTGCATGAGCCTAGGCAACACGGAGTCCAGAGGGAGAACAAGGAAGATGTTTTCCTCTAGTTCTCAGAACTGAAAGCAAAGAGGGCTACAGGCAGTTCATAAGGTACCACAGGTACTTGGAAGTTCATGCATTATTTGTTTTGGAAGCCATCAGTCTTGTCTGGTCCACGTTTCCAACCTGATGCCTTCAAATTCTGTTTTAGCTTACATTTCACTTTTTCCTTTCTGTTTTATGCAACTCTAGGTCACATCTTTCTGAATCAAAGGGAAGAAAGAAATTGTTCAAGTACAGTTAGAAAAAGCCCACTGTAAAATAGAGTTCTGAAAAGTTGGAGGCGAGAAATATCCTGTACTTATGTGTCAAATTTAGGCCTACTGATGTGGGACCAGACTCTCTCTATACCCATATATTTTACCAGAAGCTAGTCTTTGCAGAGTAAAATCAGTATCTCTGTGCCAAATCCCTAAAGAGAGTTTAATACCTAATATTTTGTTTGAGGCTTGACTTGACACACGTGCTAATAAACTTCATTCCTTTGTCCTATGTTGGTGCCCGAAAGAGGATGGGAAGAGAAAAAGCCATTATTTTAATGTCCTTTTCAACTTCCAGGAGGTTACTGTTCTTCCTCTTCATCGCTTTCTATACTAGGGGTAGAGATTTTATAACACAGGTGGGAGTGTGAATCCCTTGTTTTCATTTGTCCTGCATGCTAGCACTTAGCAGAGATGAAGATAATAGGATTGTAGAAATATCGTACTTGTCAGTTTAATTCAACTGCTTATTGTTATTGCTGCTTATAGTTTCCTGAAAATCAAGCTCTGGTAAAAGCTATGCCTGCCTTCTCAAATGTATGGTCCACCTGTACAGTGACTGAAAAATTTCTATTATTAGACTGACAACTTTACATCGTGTTTTGAACTAGACAAATGTACTAAAATAGGATTATAGTATTTAGATATTCACTTCTGTATAGAAATCTGAAGTGTTAGAAATGATATCTTGAATTTAAGTTGGCTTGTCTTTTCAAAGTTAAGCATTTGATGTTTGAAACAAATTCCATCTCGGAGATCAAAGTGAGATCACTGAAGAATTTGTCTGTTGTTCTTAGTATTTGGTAATGCTAAATCTGGATTCATGCTTAATGAATGTGCATGATGTTCTGCTTTGTATTTTTTGTTCTATGTCTTTAAAGTACTTGTAAGCCAGTTTGGGAGAGCTACTTGTTAAGGATTATCCTTTACTCCTTGTCCTCTGATATCCCTCCAAAAGCCTGGTGTTGGCATTGCTGGCTGCCAGGCATCTGCTTAGGCCAAGTATCTATTAAAACCTAATAAGTTCTTCCTCCCCCTAATACACAGTCAGTTCACTGGGTATTCCAAATCCATAGGCATTAGCCCTGATTTTTCTATTAAGAGTGAGTAGGCTTATAGTATCTTTTATTTCTTGCCAGCTACTTCCTCTTTGGATAGGTTTCTTATGGTGTGGAAACTGAAGGCACAATGCAGAGCTTACAAATTTGTAGGCCATGCAGAAGCAGTGACCAGCGTACAGTACTCACCAGATGGGCAGCTACTTGCTTCAGCTTCTCGGGATCGTACTGTCAGACTATGGATTCCTTGCATGTGAGTATAACAAGGCAATGCTGGCTATGAGTTTCATTAATGTACAACATGAATAATTGAGTTTTTACACAAGAAAAGTTTCTCTTTCCTTCCTGTATCCTTGGGCTTTGACAGAAACAGAGATTAGGGAGCGTAAACAACACAGTTCTTTACTGTGTTACTCTGTTCTTTACTGAATATTCTGTAGTTTCAAAGATATAGCAATTCAGAGGCCATAATTTCATGTGCGTAGGACTATGCTTAGTAGTATTTCTGGCTTAAACTATGTATTTCTTTTAATAAGGATTGTATGGCTGCACTTCATTTTGGGGAGACAAGTGACAAAGGAAACAAAAAATAGTGGGTTTGGAAAAAAATTTTGAATTGCTTTAGACTGTTCTCAGGTAGTGATGATTATGAGCTATTAAAAATGATATTATAAAGACTGGTGTTACTTAAACTTTAAAGCATTTTGTAGATTACTGTTTCAAAAATATAATAAATTCTCTTTCAAGTATGGAGGCTAATGCTGCTAGTGAATTGCACTGTTCTCCAAAACTGGTCATACAATTGCTTTGAGAAATGTTATTCTAGTAATTAATATTCAAATAAGTAAAAAATATTGGCAGAACTAAGATTAAACCTGTATACATTGCTTTTTCATTTGCATAAAATGCCAAATATGTTAACTTTGAGTTTCACGGGGTTTCAGTCAGTTCAATATAATTGTGTTTTGTGTCTTGGGTTTTGTTTTTTTTCCCCCCACTAGTCATGGCGAATCATCGGTACTGAAAGGTCATATAGCATCTGTTCGTAGCGTGAGCTTCTCTCATGATGGCCACTTTCTAGTTTCAGCATCCAATGATAAATCAATAAAAATATGGAGTGTTCGCCATCCATGCCTTTTGTTTTCCCTATTCCAACACACTCGCTGGGTATGCCATGCCAAGTAAGTGTTGGTTTTTATTCTGTTTGTAAAGAAGCAGAACTACTTACAAAGGGGTTCTATCTCCCAGGGCAGAACTAAGAGAAGAAATATCTGGGAATGATAAATGATGATTTATCACTAATAATGACATTTAAATAAATCAATTGTATGCACACACGTTAGAGATATATACATATATATCTCCTGGCTGAAGTCTAAAAGCTTGCTTTATGTGTTAATATGTCTACATATTAAATTTGTTGCTGGGTGTTAATTCTTTTACTTTAAAGGACAAATAGAGTCTTCTGTATTCATTTTTTAGTCTGTATGCTGTCTTTCTGCAGTCTTGTATGTTTCTGTGCTGTATTAACTTATTTCAGAGATTCACTTGTTTTTAGGTGTATTATGCACAGTAGGGGTTTTCTCAACTATTCTTGGATCATAGCAGTATAAAAGAATGGTCATGAGTCAAAATGAGTTAAGCTTATGTAATTGGAAAAGGTGAAATATAAATGGCCTTTGTACTCCAAGTTAAGATTTGCACTCTATTTAAAGGCAGGGCAGCTCTTCACAGCCAAGAAAAGATTGTTCTTTTTTTTTTATTATTTTTTTTTATTTTTTTTCCCCTCTCCTCCATTAATATGGAAAATCTGCAGCTAAGAGAGACCTGATTTAAACCTTGTGAGAAAGAAATTTAACACTGTGCAGAGCCCTACAAAGCTCTAAAGTATCTGATTGTTTAAAGTAAAAGCTCTAGGAAATTGTATGTTAAAGTTCTTGAACTGTGTTCTAATGTCCTTGTGCAGTTGCTTCATATGAGAAATAATAATGGTTGGCGAAATTAACACGAATCAATTTTCTTGTTTAAAGACCTAGTCTGCTAGGCTAGGAATAATCATGAATGTTTTGCTGATAGTTTGTAAATCTAGAGAGAACTCACAGGGGAATACATATGTAGGTTAAAACTGGAACACAAGGTTCTACTGTGTCCTCTGTCTTTTTGTCTATGGTTTTCTATAGCAATCTCTTTGCATCTGAAGTGAGAACCTTAGGCTGCTGTTATCCACTCCACCCTCCCTGCTTATGGCTCTGTTTTTAACTGTAGTTGACTGTGAAACGAAGGGGGCAGGAGCAGGGGAGAGAAGCTTTTCTTTTCAGTTTTATTACTCCATGAGAAATTTGAGAAATTCAAATGTCCTTTAAATGTTACACATTTTAGTTCCAAATGGGCTTTCTTGGTTCTGGTGTTTTGGAACTTGTGTCTCTAATGCTAATCTAGGTTGTATCAGTTGTGTAGTAATGTACACACTTGCATGTTCCAGATTTTCACCTGATGGAAGATTAATAGTATCTTGCAGTGAGGATAAATCTGTTAAGATCTGGGATACAAGAAATAAAACTTGTATTGAGAGCCTCTTAGATTATGAAGGGTAAGTGTTACTAGCAAAAAGGAGAAATGAAAGTGTGTAATTTTCTTGAGACTTAGTTCATGTTTTAGTTCATAACATCTATATATATTATGTCTGAAAATAGATCAAACTTCTACCACCCATGTAAACTAAAATAATTCCTATCACATTGTTCTAAAGAGTTTAACTGATTGTACCTACCAAGCTGTTTTCTAATAATCAAGAAATAAACTAGAGAGAAGTCAGATTGTTCTTGGATTTTTGAAGGTTTTCATGGTTTTGCTTTGTTTCAATAATGCTTTTTGGTACTGGGTCCTTCAACAAGAAGTGAAGTTTAAGAATTCTTCACTTGTTGGTGAAAACAGTACTATGTTGGCTTGAGTGACATGCCTTATTTAGGTTTAGAAAATAATTGCATTTACTTATCTGTAGTTTTCTTAAACATCTTGGAACCAGCGTTTTAATTAACAAAGGCAATGGAATATGTCTTGTATATTTACTTTACTATTTTCATGGCTGCCTTCTCATGAATAAAGAGCTGCAGAAAACTATCTATCTATCTTTTTTTCTAGGCTAAAAGATTGTTATAGCTAGATATTCTCTTCTTAGACCAAATTATTTTACTTTCTGCTTACAAACTCTTTGCAGCACATCCTTCTAGGAGCTTTGTATTCCAACACGATCTGAAAATTTCAGTAAGAACAATTATATTATCTTTTTAACAAAAGCCAGATTATACAGACTGATTTATCATGCACATCTTGTTTTCTTATGCTTATTTCACTTGCTTAAAATAACTTATTTGATTCCACACAAGTTTGTGGGAACTCAGTGTTAATGTGGTGTGTATATATATGTGTGTGCATGCATATGTATGCCCACACGCCCCCAGTATTTCTATGGAAACATGTAATTAATTTGTTTTCATTAATTATATTTAGATTTGCAAATTTTGTGGATTTCAACCCAAGTGGTACGTGTATAGCTTCTGCAGGTTCCAATCATACGGTGAGACTGTGGGATATTCGAATGAACAAGCTACTGCAGCATTACAAAGGTAAAAACAATGGAGCTCTGTGCAATTCAGTGTGATTTATTTAGGTTATATGATCTCATTCCTTAATGGGGCAAGTAGAGAAACAAGTCATATTGTAAAGAACCTTTTTGTAGTCTAGCAACATTAAAAATCCAGTCTGAATTGTGATTATTCCTTTGCAATGCTTATCTCAATTCTTAGAACAGAACTAAGCAATTACTTTGGAGAGTGCTATGCTCCAGCACTTAAGTTGTTTTTCCCTTAAATGAAGTAGTTTGTTCTCTGGGAAGTAGAAAATAGCAAAGAAATAAAGTCTGCATTTCCTGTTAATAGATACCTACAGTCTTTGAATATTGTCTTCTGTAAATCAGTTCACAGAGCAGGAGTTAACTGTGTATCATTCCATCCTTCTGGTAATTATCTCATCACTGCTTCTGATGATGGTACCCTTAAGATTTTGGACCTGTTAGAGGGAAGACTTATTTACACTCTTCATGGGCACAAGGTATACACAATAATCCTATTTAAATGGAGACCTTAATAGATTATTTGGTAACTTTTCAAAGGGAAGATAACACTTATGCCATTGTGTCTTGTATCCTGTGCTTTGCAGATAAGCTTTAGTGGACAGCGTAGAGTTGTATTAATACACCTTAATCACAAGTGCATAAAGAAATGCATCAGTTTTACCTTTGACTGTGCAGTTAATCTGTCAATGTTTTATGCATGCTTAATGTTAAGTAATATATTGTGTTCTGAATTAATTCTTGATTGTCATAATCAATTATTTGGCACAGTAGTCTTTGTCTCTTGAAAAACAGTGCTAAAACCAGGGAGACTTACGGAAAAGAAGTTTTGTGAAGAACAGCAGATGTTTTCTCCCTTTCTTTTTAATGCAAAATGCTACTTTTGGTAATGAAGCACTGAAACACATAGAGTTATATAATATATATTTGATAACTCTTCATCGCAGAGTTAAAGCATAAAATCTAAGGAAAATGCCACTATTTTCCTAGTATTGATTGTAGTAATTGTAATACAGCATCTTTCAAAGATAAACAATATCAACTCTTCAGTCAAGTTGTTCTGCAAAAATTTCACTACAGTTAGACTGTTCCTTTATTAAGATTGAAAAATTTATTTATATTAGATAGTGGCATAAGTCTCTTTCTCATTGTATTAAAATACCGCGATTATGGTAATAGCATAACTTTACTGTATGCTGATTTTTTTTTTTTCCCTTCAGGGACCTGTACTTTCTGTGGCTTTTTCAAAAAAAGGGGAAAAATTTGCCTCAGGTGGAGCAGACGCTCAGGTTTGTGGTATTGTCTCTTTAATAGCTGTAATGTTTGTTACAGTGGATGGGAGTTAAATGTAGTATGTCACAGTACCATGCTAATTACAGCATGCTGACATGTATTCTGTCTAGCAGTGTGTTACATAGACTTTCAACTGGATGTTGTGATGAGATGACCGTAATGCTATCCATTTCTGTTCTATGTATTAAAATAAAGGAATGATTATTTTTTTTTTTTTTAACAAAAATATTTTAAGTGTCACAATTCAGTGTCAACAAAGTAGTTGGGTTGCAACTAGTATTAAAACCTACACTCTCCGTTAGGTTTTCACTTCTTTTAAAGTTACTACTCTGTAATCGTAAGTATTGACTTGTACTACTGGGAAAACTTTGCTAGAATTGGGAAAATTGTTGGCTTTGCAATTTCACTAATGCAAATTAGCAAAGTATTAGATTTCATACAGGGAAGAGTTGTTTGAGCATTTAAAACAAAAAAAAGGTTAAACAGCAAATCATACAATTAATCTTCATCTGCTGTGATAAATCTCATAATTACAAAAACACTATGAAGCTTGAAATAATTTCTATCAGGTCTTTACACTCTCCAAAGAGAAAAAAACTTTGTAGCCCAAGGCTGAGAGTTTCATAGTCTGAAATATTTTTTAATATTATTTGTTTTTCATTGCTTCCTGTTATGAAAAGCTAAAATCTTGATGTAGACATACAAAGCCACACTGTAGAAATTAAGATCATCTGAATTTACCATAAATCGTGTTTATAGTCTGTTTTGTGGAGTTTGAAGTATGTTTCAGCAGGGAAACAGAGACAGTCTTGGGATATAATAAATACTTTTCAATTAAAAACTTTATCATTAGAAAGAATACAGTCTTTTTCTGGTTTTTACTTGTCACTTCAGGTAGCACTTCAGGTAACACTTTCTAGAATGACTTGAAAGGACTCATTGCTTTCTGTCACCAACTATTAAAAAGAACCAGTGCCAAGACTTGCAGTTATTGGACAAGTGAAAACACTAGCAAACTCCCAATATTAATTTTACAAGCAGAAAAAAGTCCTAAGTATGGAGAAAAGATACTAATTCCTTGAGCCACTAGTCTGATCTTTTATTTTCTGTACCAAAGGGTTTTGGTTTTTAATGAGAATTTTTCAGTTTCAGAATGAAGCTTTGATTTCTACGTAATCCTGAATTGTTTACCTTACTTCTCATGAATACTTACTTTTGAGTTTTATGACAATTGGTATTATGACAATTAACTTGGGAGGAATTGAAGTGCATGTATTAAACTAGGCCATATGACAGAAGATCCATCTGAGAAGCTATGATGATGGAAAGGACCTACAGTATTAAGCCTAACTCAACCTCTGAAATAAATGCCAACATACCCTAGGAGTGCCTGTCTTACTGCAAGGTTCCTTTGAATTTGGGATCCCCTGAATGACATGTGTGTTCAGTGGAGTCACAGTGGAGGACTCCATACTGTAAAGCTGGTGGCATGTGGGATCTTGGGGTGAGTAGGTATTATAGTGCAAAATCTGTAACAGCAGTTCAGTATAGTGGTTTCATACTGAATGCATGAGAGGGAAGATCCAATTTCATCAGGAAGTGCTGTCTTAAGTAAATGTTGAATTAAAAAAGTAGCCAGGTCCTAAAAGGTCTAATAGTGAATCCTGGTTTTATTTACCTTGCAGAAAGGCATGTTTTTATCTGTTGAAGTTTTTCCCCTTTTTCCTGTGAACATTCCAGTGGGAGAGGGCTACTTATTTTGCTATAACTTTCAATTTTGTATTGTAAGTTTTAAAATGTGCATTGCTAAACATTATGTGGTAACTACCTATGTATGTATCTTTTTAGTAAACATAAGAGCATTATTCCTCAGTGTCCAATTTCTATTGGTGTATGCATATGTGTACTTTTTTTGCTGACCTGTCCACAGTCCTCTACCAGGTCTGCCAGGAAAATAGTTATGGGACTTTTTCCCAACTCATTGTGATAAAATTGAGTTATTATTTGAAGACTGTCACATTTTCAAACAACAGATAAAATCTCTTCTTCCTCATGAAAGAAGGAAAACCAGTATCTCTGCTTCTAGTTTCAAGTTTCTTTTTGGTTGGTGCAGAGCCAGCTGAAAGCTTTGCTCAGAAGCATATTAAGTATTTGAAACAAGCACTGTTTCTTTCTGTGTGCTTCTTTCCTCAATCAGAAAGACTGAAACATGTAGAGCTCTGAAGTTCATGTTCTTCACACTTCCTGGCTATATGTGCACAAAACAAATTATTTCATTTACCTGCTTCCATGGAAGACATAAAACCTTTTACTTTTAAGTGAAAGAGCAAAGTTATACCTATTCCTTTGGAAGGTAGTAGCCTGTGCTGTTAATTCAGCTCTTACTATATAGAGGAGACAACACTACTGTGTCTGACTACCTTGACATAAAGGGAAATACTTCCTTCTGGAATAGCTATTTTTGTAGGGTTGTGCATAGTTGCTTTAATACTGTTTGCATTGCACTTGAGATACTCAAGGTATATACAGTCGTTTCAGTGCTGTTTTTACTCTTACTAATTTTGTTACCTGTGATGGTGAAGCTGCAATGGCATGGCCTTCCACTTCAGAGCAGAATGAAACATGTAGAGCTCAAGCAGCTCAAATGCTCCCCACTGAAAGGTCCTGCTTTTGCTGCCTTTACTCTTGTAAGTGACAGTTCTAATTGCTAAACCAGCAGAAAGTTAGCTTGAAAAAATGGGGAAAATCCAGATAAAAATATGAATAACTTTATGCTGGACTGATTGATGGAGGTAGTGGAACTACACAGCTGAGGAGTGAGAGAAACCGGGACCTCTCTCACAGCACAGTGAGCTGCTGTGCATCAACTAACCTAGAACTTAACTGTACCAGGTTCTGAGGCAGGTTTGAATAGTTTGTACCAAGATCCATGCATCCTGTTTTCACTGATGCTGATGTCTGAAATAGTTTGGGCTCCTCTTTGTAGGTGCACTGTATCTCCCAGTGCATAGTTAGGGTCCTGCACTCAACAGAGTTATGAAGAATGTTAAACCTGAAACAAACTTGTACAATGCAGCTACTTAGGAATATATTAAAAATGATTTAGTCACTTGGAATTTCTGTGAACAAATCCGTGATTTGTGTTGTTTATGTCTAGTTATTAATTTCTAAAAAATATTTGTAATGGTTGTCAAAAATATTTTTGGCTGGACAGTTTTCAGTCTGATCATGGTCCCACATTTGTCCCCTCTAATTTAGGGAGTAGATATAAAAACCAACAATGCACTTTCGGAAACTACCTTCTTTTAAGTGTTTTGAACTGCATTGGGCATATCTGACTGTTGGATGTTGTTTCTACCTTGAATGTAATTGGACAAGATTCAGAAAACAGATTCCTTTTGCTACAACACTGGAACCAAGTGCTTTAGAGTTCTATGGAACTCTGTAATTTCTCTTTTGCCCTCAAACTTTCTTGTTTGACCTGCAAGCCTTTATAGTGGAAATAAAATTGATAGTATATGATCCCTTGATTTGGCAGAAAAAATAACTTGTACAGTTCAGTGGGACAGAAGTTTGCTTTGTTTTATGAGTGTTGAAACATCTTTCAGATGTATATATATTTAAATAGATTAAACTAAATTTGTTAGACTTAAAGCACAGGGTACTTTGGGGAAGTGCCTGTGTTGTAGTAAAGACAGACTAAATGATGATGGCAGGCTAATTCTGATGTAGTGATCTATTAGTAATAACAGACTTCACTGAGTAGTTATGTTTTGGGCACTGAATAGCTTTCAAGTAGTTATTGATATGATGGCTCCTTACAGGTATTACTATGGAAAACCAACTTTGATTCATTTGATTATAAAGAAGTTCTTAAACACCATATTAGAAGAACAAATCTTGATGATCCTCCTCATCTTCTTGATATTTACCCAAGGTCACCTCATCTCCATGGTGAAAAAATACAGTCAGTTGAGGTAAGTGCAATAAGTACTCAAATACAGGAAACCAGAAGCTTTTGTAAACACTATCTGTCTAGCATTTATAGTTAAGTATGTTCTGTGTATACCAAAGAGCTTTTTGTTGTTATGGTTGCTTCCAAAGTATTATACATAACCTTAATGGAAATATGTAAGTTACTAGGCTAGCTGATGCTGTCAGATTTGTCCTGGTGAATTCCTTTCATGCTTCTTCTGTAAGTCTGTACTCTACACCTAATTTAAACAAAACATAGCTGATAGTCTGGTTCCTGAAGAAACATGGCAACTGTTGTGGAAGATATCCGAATCTATGAGCTTTAGGATACTACTCAAAATATGTCATTATAAGCATGACAAGGTGGCATTATTACTGAAAGTCAAATACTTGATTATCAAAAGTTGTCCTTCTTTCCAAGACCTTTAGGTATTGTGAGAAGATCTTGATGTCTGTCTAAAAGTTCAGAAGGCCTTTCTAGGCTAATACTGTATTTTATGTCACTGTGTAGTCTGATTTCCTTATAATTTAATTCTTCAGCTACTTTACGGTGAAATCTTCTTCCAGCAACCCTTGGAAGTATTGGGAATTAGGGAACCAAAGTGAAATGTCAAATATTCTGTGTCTGTATTTGGAAAATCCTGTGTTTGTCAGGTTGTCTGAAAGTTGTGCTAAGTAGGTAGACATTACTATGCCTTAGACAAGACCATTGGTTGTGCTAAAACCCCAGGGATGAACTTGTGACTGTTCTTAGTAGATCTGACTAGCTTCTGCATGGTGATTACCTATATGTTTGTCTCGTCTTTGATATTCTCCAAGTGCCTCTAATGTCCAAGAGCTGTCCTGATATAAATCTAGGAACTTCTTGGGTTTTGTCATACACTAAAGAGAGTGCTATAGAAATTCACCATTACCTGGATTTGTTCATAAAAAAAATGCAGATATTTCTGCCGTGGCATTTGTTTCCTGCTCAGACTTAAAACATCAAGATTTGAGGATATTGAGCTTTTTTCTTTATTTCTTGTCTGTTTGCAATATGAATATATGCAATATGAGTAGTGTAAAGATTGAAAACATTTTTGTGGAGGAGGGGAATGCTTATAGAATCCATCATTTATTCTCGTATGTCTGATTCTGTTGTCAAGTTGGATATGAAGCCTTCTGATGCTTAGCATTTTGGTCAGAACAAAAGCAGGAAACTGGATGTATGACAAGCTTCATAAACAAACTCCTGTGCCAGACTGTCATATTCATTGTAAGGTCAATGAGTGAAGCTAAATTTACTGGTGGCAGCATTCAGTATAGGTGGTCAGTGCTAGGACAAACTCAATCACAGCATCTGCCAGCAGGTTTGAACTACTCTTGCTGCATCAACAGTTTGCTTTAAGACGTGTTCAAATTGCAATCACTTATAACACATGCTAAAAACCCATAGTTGTTTATAGCTTCCAGGTTTGTTGCTTTCTTTTCAGATCAGCTTTTCCAGACCTCTGCTGTTCAGGTGCTTGGCAAAAATATGAATGTTTTCTAAGCAGTTTTCCAGACTTTTATATTTTTTTTTCCCCTTGTCCCTGGTTCCAGGTTAATTGAGAAGCTCTGGAAAAGCGTTAATGAATTCCAGCTAAAGTTAAACTAAGGCTAGGAAGCACCTCGTTACCAATACTGAAAGGGCACATAAAGGAAACTTGGTAGTTGAAGGTCAAGAAATTATTTATCAGTTAGCTTTAACAGGTTTCACTTAAACTAATGTCTGTGTTTCTTCATGGCTGTAAGCTTTGTAGTAGCTTATAGGCTTCTGGGTTAGTTGTTGTAGTTGTGAAAGGGCTTCATGGCTTTGTCACTTGTCATAGCAAAGTTTTGCACACTTGTGGTATATTTTCAACCCTGATTTCAGGATTTTTTAAAAAAAGGCTGCTGTGTTTAGTTTTCTATTAACAACATATTACCTGTAAAGTATCTTGCTCTCAAATAAGCATGTCTAGATAGGGTGCCTTGAAGATGGATGGAGATTCCACAGTCACTCTGGATGATCTATTCCATTACAGTGCAGCAATTGAAATTAAGCAGTTTTTCCTATTATCTTCTCTGCACTTCAGAGAAAATGCAGGACTGCTTGCTTTCTGTTTATTTTCTTTTTCATGAGGAACAGGGGAAGATGACTGATCTTAACTAAAGTAACTATTTTAAGAGACTTGGTAGCATATGCAAGAGTTACAGGCAGGCAGAGGAGGCAGTTCATATATGTCATATTTAAAAGTATATGTGACCTTTTAAAGTTTGCTACAAGCCATTACAATGTCATCGAGACACTTGAGATTTGTTATAATACATTGCCCTGAGTTATGCTGAGCTGGTTAAGTTCAGTCACCTTTATAGCAGAAATGAAGATGGATTGCCTTAGGAAAAAATTCAAAGTGGTAGAATGCAAGAAGTTCAACAGATGCACAGGCAGAACTCAGGAGGGAAGTGATTCTGTCTATGCTTTTTTTAAGTCTTAATGTTTCATGCCACTGCAGGTTTCTTACTGCTGTTGGACAGTTACTGTTTCTCTGTCCCTGCTTGCCTCAATGCGGCAAGGTCCCTGCTATTCCAGGATTTGATTCTGGGAAAATAGTATACACAAAATGAAGCTGGCTTTGCTCAGAATTTATTCAGCTGGGTTCATAGAGACAGTTGTAGTGTTTTCACATATTGCCAGTTGGAAACGTTGTTTTGAACAAAACAGCTAACAAAAGGGCATTAAGAATTACAGATATCATCTGTTACCTTGCCCTCGGGGTAGTGACTGAAACATGTAGCTTCAGTGTGCTTTCACATCTTCTCAAAACTTCCTATTCACTCTTCCAAGCTATACACAGAGCCAGTGATATTTAAGATACTTCTTTTTTCCTCTCTCCCTGCCTGCATTTTGAAGCATAATTAACTTATATAAGAAATTCCTTACTTGATCTCCTCCTCTTCAAACCATCAGTAGCTTTGAATTTCAATGCACTGTCATGTTCTTGATTTACAAATCTTTACAAGTGTTCTCAAATTGCACTGATCAATGTGATTCTTGAATATTCAACTGAGTAGAGGTTTAAAGCTTAGAATCATTACAATTATTCAGACAATTTAGAAATATAAGGAAATGACTTGTTCTCTGAAAGGTGCCTACTTTTTTTTTTCATTGACCATAGAAGTAATCTTGGGTTACCAGCTCAAAAACAAGTGTTTGGCAGTACATCTAAATTTAGCTGAGATACATCCCAGTCATTGTCTCCCTTTGAAGCAAGGAACTTTAGGAGGTATTTGAAAATAATGTATATGTTTAATTAGTAATGCAGTTTTAGTGGAGTATACCAAAAGAAATGCATTCCACTTGGTGCCAGCTGTATTTCTGTATTATTTCCTGTGTTTGTGCGTTATTAAATGTTCATTCACTGGAGACATCTTCAAAGCAGATGGAATGTAGAAATGTTTCCTTTAAAAACATATCTTTGAGGTTTGAACATATAAAGATGTGTAGAGTTTCTATCTTGAGCATGAAAAGCTACTCTTGATTTAGTTTCATCTTAAAATTTTCAGTGTGATTTCAGTTGTATTTTCTTAGAGGAAGGAAATCCAAATATACACTAGGTGGCAGTAGAAGTAAGAATATATGGGTTGCTTAGCTTGAGGGCCCCTGTAGCACAGAGAATGATGTTTAGTCAAATTGAAAGCTAAATTCATCTTGATATGTTTGGAGGGACTATTTCAAAACTAGCTACATCACTTTCCTAGGAAATACTTTGTGTGAGTAATTTAAAACTTCCTCTTTTAATTTTATTAATTTTTAGGCTTTTGATCTGACTGCACTGTCCTATGAAATGCATTTTAAAAATAAAGTGAGGGGGGTTTGTGAGATTGGATATACTTTATTAAAATCAACAGAGGGATATCTGTAGGGGCATAATAATTTACTTAAAGCTTACTGCTGAGAATCACATACTTATTTGGGCCTGCTTCTTTTGTTCCTCCCCTAGTTCTCTGTCCTAAGCAGGGATCCTAATTCCTGCCTCTCACTTTCTTTAAATAATATAGTTTGATTTCACTCTATTTCAGTCTTTAGAAATCTGTAATTCCTTACCTGAAAGGATGTGTAGAAACTTTCCCTCAAATGTGTTCTATTGTGTGTATCAAAATGTGATAGCATCATATTGGAAGAAGAGAACAAAAATACTTATATACCAGTTCAACAGGTAATTAAAGGAATGCTTTGGAAGAGTGTTTTTGAAAGCCTTTAATACATGACACTGCCCTTTAACTTGCCTGTTAGTGTTCTGTCTTCCCTTTCTTGTTTTTTAAAGTTAAGTTTTTTCCAAGTATGTTTTGGTGTATGGACCCTAGCATACATTTTTGCTTGTGGGAATAGCACTGAAGATGTTTCTGAGTGAGCAGCTCTGGCTGAGCCAGAGTTTTGACAGTCATCAGGTGAAATGGTAGGTTCCTTGTCTTTGAAAATGCAAAACCCTTGTATCCAGCGAACTTTCGGCAACTAAAATATAAACCTGCCACTAGGCAAGTGTGTTTTCTTTATTTTGTCCACTTTCAGAGTTGGAATTAATGCTGTCTCTGGTGAGGCTGCTGTTGTATTACTGATAAAATGTTGAAGAGTAAAGTTCATTTCTTCTTACTACACCAGACTTCTTGGTGATTTAAAAGTCATCTAGTCCCTCTGTGAATTTTGTCAGTTCATAAAATAACAAGAATAATATTTCCATACTGAGAAATATTCCTTAAATTCCTCATCATGCTGAGAGGGCAAATGTATTAGGCTGTGATACACCTAGATGATAGTATGGTGATAAAATACTGTCCTGGGTTCAGCTACAGCA